GGAAAAACACGGTTGGTCTCCCTATACATAATGTGTATAGCATCACGCAAGTGCAATTTGTATACGCGCGTCTGTCCGATTCGCGATTGTATTATACGCGAAGAATATGTACAATCTAATATTTAATAACAATAAAACGTTATTGTTGTCAAAACTAGACGTGCGCCTTAACCCAGTTTTTCAAAATAATTTATTATGGCGAACGTAGTTAAATAAATGCCCGATGAGTACGGCAGTGACGGCGGCAACGGAATAGGACTAGAAACTGCGGGAGAATGACCAAAAATGTGTAAAGAAAATCCTGTGCACAAAAATTGGATAGTAGAAAACGACGTGTGTGTACCATATCTTGGTGTTTCACCAAGCATGTTCTTCCTTTTTTACTTAAATATCATAGTTTTTAAAATTTCTAAACATACTTAAAAACAATATTTAAAAATGTTAGAGATTTTTGTACTACTTAGTGACATGTGAATTTATGAACTTCAGTTTTTCAAACGAAAACTCCTCTTTTCTATTAAAAATTATTTAGCGGATTATCCTTTTGAAAATATTGAGGTATTTAAATCAAAATTTAAACGAGTAAATTTTAAGTTATTTTACATTGTATACAAAGGATAATAGATTTATGATAAGGGGTTTTAAAAATATAGGAGCCACGATGATTTAAAAATTGTCGTTATTAATATATTAATATATCAACATTTATAATTAGTAAAATGATTCAAAATAAAATAAATTTTAAGTTCATTATATGATAACTATTTAATATTTTTTTGAAAACCATTTTTAAAGATAATTAATTCTTATATAAACATTTTAATGACTGAGAAACTCATATGATTTTTTATTTAAATTAATATTTAAAAAATATATTAAAAAGTTATCTGAAAAATAGAAGTTTGTATTTTCATATCGTACTGCTCAAGTAATACAAAACATCTTTAGAACTTTTAAATATAATTTCCAAATTCCAAAAATCAAAATTTTAATAAATACATTTTTTAAGAACAAGTGGGGATGAGCATGCTTGGTGAATCATTCTATATAAAATAACATCTCTGCTGTTGTGTGGAATTTCTACTAATATTAACTTGGGAGGAAGATATTAGGAAGGGAACAAGCCGTGTGTGTCCCGAGAAAGTAAATCTCCCGTAAATCCTGTCTGTGCGGTCACTTCATGCGTAGGACACACACACATTATAACACATTATATTAATAATATACAAACACAACGAGCCCAATAATAATAATGATAATATTGGTAACGTAATTTGTGTAATAAAAGTGTGAGACATGCATGTAAAACATGATATGTTATGGGTACGGTCAAAGTCTTAGTCGATATTCTGGATGTGTATAAAACGTCCTTGTGACGATGTCAACAACGACTGGAAGTCGGTAGATAGCTTGTAACCACTAACCTGGTAGCGTGCTCCTGGATAGATGACAGGTATTATAGCCGGTATCGTTTCTCAATCTATTATAGCTATTACCTTAACTGCATGATATATTTCTGAACACACAACACAGCGCGTCGTATATTATCGCAAATTTTTTACGTAATTTTTTCAGCCAAGCACTATTTAATAGAAATGGTTACAATATGGTGTATTATTAAAATATTTTACGCATATACATTGGACATGAACACACGTGCGAATTACGCAATTGTTAATTATGATTAAGTGATCGTTTATGCATATATTCGTTTTGAATATTATAAATATTATAGCCGTGAACCGGATTGAACAACGAATGAAGACGACAGTTATTAAAATAATAAAGTATGTTTACTCTCGCACTTGGCGTGAATTCAACAACGGGTCATTCGAAATATGGTACAAGGCAATGAAGATCAACCGATTTTGTTCGCTCTCCCTTGCTTCAATATTTTTACGTATCATGTGTGTATAATCATAACAGGTAATACGATTTTTTTATATTTCAATCTTTACTGCACACAAGGAATCGTAGAGCGAATAATTTATGCATTGAAACACCAATCCCGTGCAAGTCGATACCGCATAGATATTGCGCAAATATATATATACAAATGACTTCGTACTACGTAGGTAGGAGTTATACTTACATATTATTATTATAGTGTCGGATTGCAGACATTGTTGACCGCAATCACCGATCGTGTTTATATTTTCATTCCGTCGAATCGCGCACATAAATATTATAATATTATTCTACCAACGGCTACTGAACAAGCATATTATATCGTACAGCACGTTATTATCGTTACCTACGCCACGTGCCGGAAACAAAATCTTAATTTACATTCTAAAAATGTCTGAGCATTTTATTCCACCCGTTTATTCATCACGTATAAATAGACGATTCCAGTTGTTAAAAAACTCGCGCTCCATAACATCGACATTTTACGTAGGATACGCTTTTGTTCGGTCTTAATGCGTCTAAGATAGAGATAATTTGTATAAATAAATAATTTCAACGACAAACAAATGCCTATTATGGTTCAATAAAATATGTAAGTTACAAAATACAATATTTCGATAAAAAAATAAAAAATAAAAAAAGAGATAACATAAAATGAATGTTGTATTGTTCACCGTTTTAATGGCTATTATTATAATTATTATGCTTAACTATAATGAAATACCTTTAATATTTTATTTATGTTAATATATACTTGATAATTGAACGAGTTTAAATAATAAATACATTGTGGCATTATAACAACTGTGTAAGTGCGACAGTATATTTTGTAAATATAAAATATTTATATTAATAAAAACAAGTTAAATAAATAAGAAATATTATCAATTTAACACTTTTTAAATACATTACAACATAAGTCAAAATATAAAAATTTATTTTTATTTAATAATATAATAACATTAATAACTATGTAATGTGTACATTTTTTATCATAATATTGCGTTTGTTTAAAAAAATGTATAAATATTGAAAGTTATAATATATTTTTTTTAAATAAATCGTCAATTATATAAAATAGTTAATAAATGAAAATGAACACGGGTTTTTAATGATGTGCTTACAAAACTAATAATTCACTATATAGGTTATATTAAACTGTATTTAATTCGTACTTTAAAAAACGAATAAAATGACTATATCTATATATAATACGCTGTTTTTATTTTCAAAATAATAATAATAATAATAAAATAACAAAAGCTAAAGCGTTTTTAACAGAAAAATTATTTAGCATAATATAATTTTATTGCAAAATCGACCTTCACTGATGCATTTGTTCGTTCACCCTTTTGATCTCTCTAAGTGAACAGAAAATCTGTGGTTTATTAATATATAATCCGTCGGATGGTTATTGGATCCTCCTGTCGATTGTGAGTAATCCGATTAATGGCGGAAGCATTTTGCTCACATAAGCAATCCTGCACGTGTACACTGGCTGTGTAACGTCATTAATAGGACAGTCAAATGCACGATTGAAGACAGAAGATAAATCGTATACCGAGCTAAAAGGAGATTGTCACGAAAAACATATTGTATGCTGATTAATATAAAATGTAGGTACTCAGCACACTATATACACGGACCTCTAATGCTGTTTGAACAAAATATACGTGATAAATGATAACATTAATAGATTACACACAACAGTGTATACGTATATAATACGAGTATGACGAGAAAACTGGCAGAAGGGTACCAATATTAGTTTTACTTACGTAGTATACGAATTTGTGGAAATTGAGCAGCGTTATTATAATGTTGCAGCATACAAATATACGCGTATACAGTAAAATCGATTTGGTTACCTATTAGTAGTTATTAATACACCCTGATTAACTATTGAGTATGCAGGAGAAATTTCATAATACATTCGCAACTATCGGATATTGGTTATGATGGAGAGATGGAGTGATGGAAATCTTATTAAGGGTAAAATTAATAGATTTTGTGAATTTTATGTGGTAGTAGTTATCCAAAACAATAGGAAAAAGCTATAACCCACACAAGGACTTAACAAAAAATACAGAGCTAAGTGTATGGTGGTCATTTTGTTATGGGCCGTCTAGCATAGAAAAACTGTAAAATCTAATAAAAAGTATATTTGAATGGAAGGGCGAAAAAAATTCATTGGAAATAAACGTGTTTCGAATAATATGAATAGATTTGTATAATTTGATTACATACGATTAATGGTAATATATATAGTATTATACACCATCATGACAATTGTTTCAGTTTGAAGAATCATATTCCTCGATGTAGGTATTGTATTTTTATTAAAAAATGAAATCATTGAGATTGTAAAAAAATATTTATCTGACTCGGAGAACAAATAATGGTCCAAGCCCATTTTTAAAATAAATATGGACATACGTTTTGTCATAGCGCGCGTGATTAACTAATATATATAGACACAATTATGCAATATTATACCATTGTAAATGCGCTGATATGTATCTAATACTATTAGACGTGTCACAAAAACTGAAAACATGAATTATGCTTCGTCGCTTAAATGAATATACTTTGTAATAGTTATCCAAGATATGGAAGATAAATATATTTATATTTACATAAAATACATATAATTTAATACGCATATATGCCCACTCAATATTTGTCGAAAAATAAAACAATAGTTTAATGCACATACATCATACACATATTTTATGTATCTACACCTAATCATGTAATGTTTTATATTTACATTTTATTCATTGAGTTACAAAATCTCAACAAGATAAAATTGATAAATTCGGTAGTACTATCAATGGTTGTTCTTTTAAATATTTTAATTTTTCAATGAAAACGCTAATATATTTGTACTTAAAATACAAATACGCATATTTAAATTAAAAACTGAAGTATTGGTAAAATATTAGTATAGTTAGTATTAGTAAAAAATAAACTCGCCGTTTAACAAAACGATTTAAAACGTCTCTTAAATGACTGTTTAAAATAATAATATGGTCATACTTAGATAATAGAAGTGTCATTATTTTAAGTAATACAATACATATTAAACTTACCTATCATAAGTAAGGCGACCGTGAGGTGTTCTCTACCGGAAGCCCTAGTAGCACCCAAGACTGTGCCTACGAGCGCTGAACAAATCCCTGCTATGAACACGATACCAATGAACCACCTGATGGATACCGTACTGGTGGCGTCTGGTAACGTCAATAGACCACAGCACGATTTGGGTGTGTCTTCTTCGCTGCAATAGTGTAACGACCTGTTGAAAAATAGAAAACTATTAGTATATAATATTAGAGTGCAGACAAAAAGTTATGATGATGATGATGATGATAATAATATAATAATAATGGGTTAAGTTTTCGACGCGATATAAAGCAAATTGACAATTGAATGGCCGATAAATGGTCATGAACAGTAATATTCTTAAGCGTATGCAGTTCAAAAAAGTATCTTTACTCAATGACAGATAAAGTCAAGAGGTTAACAAATAATATAAAAGTTCACATTCATCACTTAAACAATATTTAATTGTATGTACTACAACTTGTCTCTTGAGAGTAGGTATTTGAACGAACAATAAATATTAATTATTTATTATCCGTTTTCAACAGTGAGAAAAACAATAACACAAGATTTTTTTTACAATTTATCCATATTATTTATCGTCGGTACAATACGTGCAACACATCATTACACAAAATATATTATAAAATTAACTAATGTTTTTGTTCAAGTTACATGTCGTTATTAATATCTGGACGATTCAGTTGGGGGAGAAAATATTATGATATTATACAACAACTTACTGTTTAATTAAATAATCACATCGTTATTATAACGATGATTATTTTTATGGTATACATAATACATAAATAAACGGATGATATGGCGTATAATATTATATAATACAACTACACTATTACTTATTAGTATTGGTTTATAAATTATTCAATGCGCTTGTAAGTATAATTTTTTTTATACATCATAATATATGTAATATGTATTCAACTATTGTAGTCTGAGGCATTAACCCAAGCTATATTAACCGAAAACAATATCACCGAGAGCCGCGCCGCTTATAGTAGCTGTTGAAAAACAACAGGTACACCTATATATTATACACGTAAGCATTTACACCGGAAGACCCGTATTCAGTATTCACATACTATACTCTATACCTATATACATAACAAGTGCGCACTATAACAACAAAATGTAAATGAATATTTTCTTTTTTTTTTTTTTATATTTTATCCCATACGATTATGTTATGGTTATTGGGATCATTTAGTTCACGAATGGAAACCGTATCAAACGCACGACGAACGTTTATTAGCATAAAATGTTATATCCAATCGCATTATCATATTACCCGAATGCAGATAGGCACTTTCGGTGCTCTGCTTATGCGAGTCGCGCGGAGGGCAGGCGTATAGGGTGCAATTAAAATACACGACTGAATGGTTTAATTTTTTTTTTTCGTCGAATTTTTATCTTGGTTTTAAACACCAAAGTGGCGTGGTAAACATTACTCGGCTTTGTGTATTTTAGAACCATCGCGTCACTGCAAATAAGATATACATACGGTTTTTGCGTTAATATTATAATTTGTACAAGTGCAGCACGTGATGTAGATAGTAATCATATATACTTACTTGCCTATTATGTTATTATTATCATTATTATTTCCTTCAAAGGACACGGATTGCATCTTGCTAGAAAATAATGTATACGAATGCCTCGTATATAATATAAATTACGTATTCCAAAGTATAGTACACCTATCTCGCGCGGAGTCGCATATATACACATTTTACATACATATTATACAGTGTACGAGATGATCAGATATTATGTGAGGTGGAGGTCCGGCACGTACGCGCATGGTCGAGTATTGTGGAATATCTGACCTACGTTCAAGGTGACCAGCCTGAGATTCACGAACACGGCGAGCGGCGGCGTCCGGTTTTAAAATTGCCCTCCGGCGGTTCCGTAACGTATCAATGACGGGTTCGATAACGCGACACCGTCAATTTGAGCGGATGAATCCCGCGGTTTTATTTTCGTTAAATATTATTACTCTCGTTTTTCGCCATAAATTAAATATAATGATAATGTTATTAGTATATACATATATACTTTATATACTATAGAAATCATCGTTTAATTAAGAAGAAAATTGACCTACCTATAAGTAATATTAAATATATATATTATGCGTAAACCAATTGAACTTGTGAAGCAGAACAGATCGATAACACTTTCTCTTAGTGATTTTTTACCCAGAGGTGTTTTATACAATTAATTTCCATTATCACGTGTAGTCGAACGTCGAGTGAAATATACTTTCGTTCAGAAATGAAATCACATTAAAATAATATCGTGTTTACAATCTCCACCCTCTACATAATATTATACCTGTAATGTAGGATCTGGCTAATGAAGTCGTCGTTGAGAAACAAAGTGCGATCAACCGAGATGAACGGATAAGAGATCGCGGATTATGGTTGTGCGCGTTATTTACAATAATAATATGATCGTTGAATCGAAGTGATAATATTAAAAACCGCGCGAACGCGCAGTTGCGTTCGACGTTGGATTAAAAATAAGTTTGCGAGTGTGTTTGAACGAGAAGATGGATCCTCCTACGATTTGATAAAGTCGTAAAATAAACCCATCTCTTAAAAGCCGGTCATGCATTTCGTATGTGATTTGGGGTGAGCAATATATAGGCAAGGCTAACATTGGCAAAGGGTGTTCGGATGAGTCTTATTCCTTGGGGGTTTTACGAGGAACTCATTCGACACACCCTTTGTCGGTAGAAAAAACCGTCGAATTTGTTGCCGCTCCCTGCATTTCTCATTGTAATTCAGTTAAACTTTTCATAGCGTAATAACTGGCTGAACAAAAATTTTATGGCCCGAACGAACCGCATTATTGCATTAGATAATAATATTTTAATATTAAAAGACAATTTAATCAAGTATATTATAATTATTGAAAGTGCTCAAATAGCAGCAAATTTTTAATTATTTTATTTATAGTAGCAATTTATATACTATCGTCAGAATCGGATTATTTCGTGCCCGTCGTTATTCATTAACAGTTTATTATTACTTAACTATAGCTAAAGACTAATTTATACTATAGCTGAGTAAAGAAAAAGACAACAATTTTGTAATTTTTAATTAGTTTTTTAGAAGAAGAAATTTATATTAATTAATGTCAAGGTTTGTATTTTTTTAATTGTTTATATTTTCGAATTGGTTGATAGATATAAGTGTGCCAAATCGAAGGATATACTAGGGAGCATTCGTTGTTATTATCAAATGTATTTTACTAGATAGTTTCAATGTTAACATGTGTTTTTAGTTAAATTTTGTTTTGTCTTTTAACCAATAAGACAATAATAATTAGTCTCGTCCATTTTGATTAGTTCCGATTGGAGAGATGATTATACATAATAATAATTGATTGCCAATAGTTATCAGCTATTTTTTTTATAGAAGTATAATATAGCAGAGTATTTCTTTTGTCAAGTATCAATATATCATATTTCAATCTCCGAACAATCAATTGTGTTTTCCCAATGGGATATTTTTATTATGCACAATGCGAAATATTAAGTTTGTGTTGTTGGTTTATTATTATTATTATTTTATTAGGTATTAATACTATTGTTATTATTTTTTATATCATAATCATTTGAATCGGGTTATTACTATTTACTACTTATTACTGCAGAATAATTTATTTGCCGTGTCGATTTTTACTATTTGTGTAAACTACAATTTTGTAAATTGTCAAATGTAACCTTCAAAAAAAAGTAAAATTTCATATCGATCACTAATATACAATGTGTAGGTAATATGTATTATATTTTACTCGACAATGAGTTTTGGGATAAAAAAAATTACAACACAAATGTGCGGGTAACAAACAAAGTAATTATCATTTATTCCTACGTGTTTTTTCATGACTTTTGCATTCTTATGTTTTTTTTTCATTATTATTATTACTTTTTTTTTCTTTTTTTTTTTTTTTGTAATTTTGATTATTTTGTCATAAACATCACATTTGTTCGATGGACCATACATCAGCTATGTGAATTATAATAATGATTTTTTGCAAATATATTCTTACAGCTGTACAAAATGGTGAAGTATTCGACGTATTCAGTTAACAGATTTGTTTAAAGTATGATGTTTGAAATATAGTTCACATATTCTACAGTACTAGAATAAAATTTACAGTATGCAATAATATTATATCCTATTATATATATATATATATCTTTGTAGAATATTGTACATGTAGGTGTATTCCGGTTAGTTTTCTAATATCCCGGCACAGTAAATAATAATTTGAAAAACATATTAGAATTCCACGCGGAGCCAAAAATAATGATAATAATAATATAATATAATGATATACAATATACCAAAGTATTTTTTCAGAGTTTTAGTTGTATCTATGCATTTTTTTCTCATGCGATTTAAATCAGTTTTCAAATTAAAAAAAAACTTTAATGTAGTTTCCTTTATAGAGGTGTTTCCTAAATCCAATTTTATTACATATGCATAGCAAAAGTTTTGTATATAATATAAGTTTGACAGTCACAATAATAATATTGTTTTTAGTTTAAAATAAATATACTAAAATTATGGTATAAGTTATTACATTTAAACATCAGCTGAATTATTGATTAATCGTGAATAATGAAGTAAAAACTAAATTTTACTTAGATCTTATAGTTGAAGAATATAAGATACATAAGCGTAAAATTTTTCTATGAATAACAAAAATTACGTGGTATTATTAAATAAAGGTTTCAAGTTAATTTAAATACGCACAATTTAACAAATTATTAAATGAATTAAAAGGAACTAAAAAGAAAGTAAATAAAATATGCTGTTAAAATTAATATCATAAATCAATATAAAAAATAAAACTGAAATGTTACTCTATCAAGATTATTTTTTATGTAAACTACATACATTATAAAGCAATATAAATATAAATGTATACCTAGTCAATAATATACATGATATATTATAGAATAATCTACTTTTTTAAATTTTTCAGTGGTATTCTAGGTTATATAATATTATTATATTTTTAGCGTTTTAGTTGTTACTATACATATAATGTCGAAAATAATAATGAAATGTTATTGAAAACAAATTATTTTAAAATCACTGACAATATTCCTATGCATTCATGATATCAATTCCATAACAAACGATTTAATGTTTA